CAGAAAGCATATGATACATAATTTGTTTACAAAATATAGGATTTTGTTTCCTAAAATGTCATAAATGCTTAAAAGGTGAATGAACACCGCTTTAACATTTTCCATTGTTGTACCAACATATCTATTTAAAGTAAATTTATAATATCAGGTTGTTTTTACGAAGAGAAATGTTTTAATTTAGATATTTCTTATATAACGTAACTGTTTAAACACCTTTTTGTATCATTAAGTTTAATATTACTCTATTCTCTTGTAAACGTTGTGTTTGTTTCTCTAATAAAGACGAAATAAAATCTGTGTCTGTAACAAAGTTGTTTTTTTTTATTACTTGGAAATAGAACGTTCTTACGGTTACTGGATTCCAATTCTGGTCATCCGACGACCTTTATGGGCCTCGAGCAATAACTCCTTACCCGAACATACTGCCCCCGCTATGGTGGACTGAAATATAAGTACCTACTCAGGGAATGATAGGTGTTTGGAATGACATATAGGGCAGGATTTGTAGTGTGTATTTGTATTTTGTTGCGGTTTGTTTGTGGACATTGAAGAAACGTTACAGTGTACATTTTGCGACTGATTAATGTGTGTGTTTTTTAATATTATTGTGCATCGATTTGTTCGATACTATAAACGTTTCTAACATGTCCGCCCTATGACTAAGGAAATCAAACAAATTTTTAGGTTTTAACTGACATTGAAAATCAAAAGTTTAAACGGTGAGAAAATATGGAAAAATTGTGAGGAAAATTTACATTTTAAAAACCGAAAAATAATGATTTGGATTTAACATGTCAGTTAAATAATGATACTTGATTGATGTGTTGGGTTCGTTCAGAAATATACTTTGAAAGTACCTATTAGAAAAGTATCAATAAATCCTTACTTCCTTACTAATATTATAAATGCGAAAGTAACTCTGTCTGTCTGTCTGTCTCGCTTTCACGCCAAAACTACTGAACCGATTTAAATGAAATTTGGTACGCAGATAGTCTAGACGCCGAGGAAGGACATAGGCTACTTTTTAATGCGAAAAAAGGGTTGTAAGGGGTTGAAAATGGAAATCTTTATGCGGTTGAATACATCGCACACTTATATTCTATATTAATAATTTCGTCAAGGGGTACAGTAGACTCGAACGAAACCTTATGTGAATAACAAAACATAATAAAATATTTCGAATAGACAACATATATCCGAAAAATTCGGATTATGGAGTATTTTGTTAAATTATAATGATACTTACAAACAAACTGCAGTCACCATCTTTCTATTTCACTAGCTAACCAATCAACACATCGCGTGTGTTTGCGCCAATAAGGTATCCATCACAAAGAAAAAACCACAGATAACATAATATAAACGAAAGATCTTGCCGGAAACATGACGTTGACGTTTAGCGAAAATATTTTTTTTGACACTTTTATGATAAAATATAGTATATCGTGTGTATGTCTTTTTTCTTTAAACCTGAAATTGGCCGATTGCGAGACAAATTTGGCATTTTTTTTATTAATTTGTTTTACGGCTCTGGATACAAGTCCTTTTTTAGCCCAATTTAAGTTTTACAATATAAATTATAAAAATTAAAGTCAATGTCCAATGTCAAATAATAATAAATGTCAATGTTGTATCTCTGTTCTGACGAACTTATTAAAAAAAAAACATTATTACAATCACAATTTATTATTTGCATTTTTTTTAAATAATGTTGTGGTGTGGCACTATCCGAAATTAAATTATTTACCCATTTTTGTAGGTTATACAGAAATAATGTGTTTGTGTTTATTTAAAAAGCATTAACACAAAATTAATAAAGTATAATAAATAAAAATAAAAATAAAAAAACCTTCTATTTCCTAAAATGACAAGAATATTACATGCACTTATTAATTATTTATAAACATATCATGTTATTGATCTTTTTACATATTCTATTTGTTATTTATTATATTATATTATTATTTTTATTATATTATTTTATCTACATTCAATATATTATTATTAGCATGCAATAACAATAAACATTTAATTTCTTTTATATTATATTTTTTTATTTAGGTATCCATTTAAGGATATAGGCCTCTTCCAACCTTTTCCACTTTTCTCTGTCTTTAGCCAGTCTCGTCCAAGTGGGCCCCGCTACGTCAATGATGTCATCGCTCCAGCGCTTTTTAGGTCTTCCGCGTGGTCTTGTTGTGTTTCGTGGGTACCAATATAACATTTTTTCGCTCCATCTCCCATCCGTTGTCCTTGCCAAGTGGCCTGCCCACCTCCATTTCAATCTACAGGTCAGCTCCGCAGCATCAATGATATTTGTAATTTTTCGTATATCTTTATTTCTTTTTCTATCTATAAGTTTCAGTCCTATCATGCTTCTCTCTGCAGCTCGTTGAAACACTTGAATCTTATTTATGATATCCTTTGTTAGTGCCCAACTTTGACATCCATACAACAATGTCGGGAGAATTACTGTGTCCATTGCTTTCTTTTTTAGCCTAATAGGTAACGTTGATTTAAAAATTTCTTTCAAAGACCAGTATTTACACCAAGCTTTTTTTATTCTGCATTGTACTTTTGTGTTGAGCGGTGTTGCAAAAGACATGTTAATTCCTAAGTATGTATATTCATCGACATAATCAATACTTTGTGTCTCAATAATTATAGGAATTTTTTCGCTATTTGTCATTGCAAACGTCTTTGAAAAGTTCATTTTCAAACCACATTTCTGGCTTTCTTTATCTAGCGTCGTGAGCATGGGTTCGACATCTTTATGCTTTTCAGAAATTAATACAATATCATCGGCAAAACGCAAATGATTCAAGTACTCTCCGTTAATTTTAACTCCCAAATTATCCCAATTCAGTTCTTTAAATATATATTCTAGTAATGCAATGAAAAGTTTACGAGAAATATGATCTCCCTGACGTACTCCTCTTTTTATGTCGAATGGTTTTCCTTCACGTTCTAGTTTTACTACAGCTGTACAGTTTTTATATATTGTTTTCAGTATTTCTATATACTTTTTATGGGACACAGTCACCTAGATACATCAAAATAATAATTGCATTTAATAATGTCTAGTAAGACAAATTCAATATTGTCTACTAAGCACTGCTGTGTCTAAACTGTGTCACCCCACCTTACATTTTCCTATTGTTATTTAGTATATAAGATCATTATTTCTGTGTACACATTGTCAGTTTATTATCATCTGTAATATACATCGTCTCGACCAACAACATCGTATCATTTACCCGCAACAGTGGTGACCCCGACGTGATCTGGCCGACGTGGTCGAGACGATACCTGGGAAAACGACGAGATCAAACAAGAGATCTCTGTCTGACGGCATCCTGCGCACCACCAACGATTGCACATTTCCACCGGCTTCCCAGAAGCGGGTCTCACCGGCTCGGAAATTCAAGAGGCATAAAAGTCGTTGGCAATACTGCACAACAAGGATCCTGCCGTGCTACTGACCCCCAGTAAACACAACTGCCTGCTGGATATAATCTCTGGACGAAAAATTGAAACTGGAAAAATAAAGCAAAAATGCTGTCTACAAAAGTACAGCCAACAGTCACCGCCGACGTCATTGCACACCTGTCGTCACTGATTGCGACACTGCGATCAGAAATTGCTGATATACGCTAAAAGCACTCGCCACACACAAACAGACGCAGCAACTGCCGATCTAGGTCAAATTCGCACCTACGGTCATTGCATAGTCAGAAAAATGACTATTATTTATATTATATCATCGCAAATATAAAGAAAAGGCATACAAATGGCATACAAAAACAAAACCGTCGGAAAACTAGATTCGACGCAGAACAAGACGGAACGCTGTGCTGTTCATCCGTCTAACCGCCTAGCTATAACCGACTTTAACAGTGGCTATAGAATTTTGGTGGACACCGGAGCAAAAATCTCGGTGAATAAAAAACAAGCACAGACCAAAAAGAGCGCTAGCGAAATCAAATTATTCGCCGCAAACAATTAATATGAGTAAATGCGAGTTCTTCACAAATGAGTTAGATTTTCTTGGTTATCATATAACGAGCCAAGGGATGAAACCAACGCAAGAAAAATGGCAAGCAATCGACGAGTACCCTAAACCCACGACAGTCGAAGATTTACGTCGTTATTTGGGTATAATGAATTTTTATTGTTACTAAAGTGGATAACGTCTTAAATTTTACAGTTAACTTTTATAATTTTTTTTTGTGTGTAATATATATATATTTTTTCTCTCAAGGGGGGAATATCTATGGGACACAGTCACCTAGATACATCAAAATAATAAGTGCATTTAATAATGTCTAGTAAGACAAATTCAATATTGTCTACTAAGCACTGCTGTGTCTAAACTGTGTCACCCCACCTTACATTTTCCTATTGTTATTTAGTATATAAGATCATTATTTCTGTGTACACATTGTCAGTTTATTATCATCTGTAATATACATCGTCTCGACCAACAACATCGTATCATTTACCTGCAACACTTTTCATCTATTTCTTGTTCTTGCAATGCTTACCAAAGCGGTTCATGTAAAATTGAATCGAAAGCTTTTGCATAATCCACGAATACAACATATAAATCTTTTCCATATTCCGCGTATTTTTCTATTAGTTGAGTCAATATAAAAATATGATCTGTTGTGGAATAACCAGCTCTAAATCCAGCTTGTTCCCTTGGTTGGTTTCTTTCCAATGACTTTGTTATTCTGTTTAGCAACAAAGTTGTGAAAATTTTGTAAATTACTTGTTGTAAGTTAATCGGTCTATAATTTTTCTATATTAGCTGAATCTCCTTTTTTATAAAGTAAAGTTATGATGGATGTGTACCAATCCTTTGGAATTTCATTTGATAGTAAAATTTCATTAAATAGTTCAGTTAAGTATGGCGTGAGAGGGTCAATTAATGCTTTAATTAATTCATTTGTTATTCCATCGTTTCCAGGGCTTTTCAATGGCTTTAACCGTTTAATTACCCATCTTATTTCTGTTTCCAAAAACGGTAGAATAGTTTTTTGGTTTTGACTGCTCATTGTAATCAACTTTGTTTGTTGTTGTTTAGCATCTTGATATAGTGTACTATAAAAATCTGAAGCTATTTTCACCAATTCTTCTCTATTTGTTTTAATATTATTTTGTTGTTTAAGTCCTGTAACCCATATTTTTTGTTTGTTTAATCTTCTATATGCTCTTTTTATTGAAGCGCTTTTATTTAATTCTTCTTTAATTACTTGATATCTATTTTTCTTTATGCGTAGTTTTAATTGTTTTTTTATTAGTTTATACAATGCTGTTAATTTTTGTTTTTCTGTTCTGTTTTTGTTTCTTTTGTTCTTTAATGTATTTCTTTCCGTTATTAGTTTATTAATATATGAATTTAGTATTATTATTTTGTTCTTATTTCTCTGAGTAGATAGTATATGACTTGAACATTTTATTTTATTTATTAGATTATGATAAGATTCTTGTATGTTTTCAAATCTATAAGATTTCATATCTAATGTAAATATATTTTTTAGATATTCTTGTTCCTTACTATTATATTCACGTGTTTTACTTCTAATATGCTTTCGGGACATTTTATTTTTAGTTACTATAAGTTTAGCTCTTACAAATCTATGGTCAGTAGGAAACGTCGTATCTATAACTTGTATATCTTGTATTAGTTTCTTATTTTTAACCATTATGAAATCTATTTCATTTCGTGTCTTACAATCAGGAGATATCCAAGTCCATCGCATTTTTATATTCTTTTTGAAGTAACTGTTCATAATGGACATGCCGTTCTCGATGCAAAAATCTACAAGTGTCTGCCCCCTTCCGTTTCTTTTACCAAAGTTCCAAATGCCCATGACATTTTGCTCATCCTTCTTTCTAGCTCCTATTTTTGCGTTAAAATCCCCCATTACTATTACATCTTTGCCAGTATACTCTAAAGCTTCTCGTAAGTTTTGGTAAAAATATTCCATCTCCTCATCCTTGGACCGCTCAGTAGGAGCATAGCATTGTATAATATTAATTTTCTTATTAGTGAGCATGTTTGCGCCTGTATACCTATTTTCCTTTCCTTACGTCCTCTCCACATCTATCTCTTTCCTTGGCAAGGAATCTGAAAAGGACAGAGATGTTTCGCTCGAGCCCGATCGGCGAGACTCGGGCTGTCGCGCACGTAGTCATTCGGAGATCGTTGAACGGTGGCTATCATAGTTTTTTCATCCGCATTAAAAATAGTATTTTGGACAATATATAAACTGATTTAGTATATTTTTGCATATAGACAATATTTGTATGTTTATATTTGTATGATATCTAAACGTATTATCCTGTCAGAAATATGTAAAATATCCAAAATATTAGCTTTTAGATCGTTTTTAATAATAAAACCTACGCTATTTTTGCCACTTTTTTCTCCACTATACGTAAATATATATTTTTCGTTTTCAATTATGTTCTTTCCATCTTTTTTAACTTCTGCTAGACCAATTATGTCCCATTTAAATTTATCCAAAATGTGATCAAATTCTAATTGTCTTACTTCAGTGACTAAAGATCTTACATTATATGTACATATATTAAAACATATATCTTTTCTATTTATATTTCTATTTTTAATTATATTCTGTTCTGTATTTTTATGTTTAAGATCATAATCAGTTACATTATCATTACTACTATTATTTTCAAAATTGTTACTTTTCTTAAGGTTGGAAGGTTTTGGTCTACTATTCCCACGGGGACCAGCCGTATTGGGAAAGCGTATAGTATTTTTGTTTTTATAAGTGTATTTTTGTGTTTCGGTTGGAGGAGGCGCTGCTTGTTGCTGTTTCTATATCCCTGTCAGAGTCCTGTGAATCTGTAGCTTGTTGTCTTTTTCTGCTTTGACACGATATATATTGAGTGATATTTCTATTTACATTTGTTGCTTTATGTTTTTTAGCCATTCTATGTATCATTACTTCTGTACTTTTATTATAGCTAGTAGCATAAGCTGATGGATCTAATGTTCGCTTTTTGCTTTGATTTTGAGTCGATACCCTGTCATGAGTGTTGTCTTTATTAGGTAGGATAATCAATTTATTATATTTAATAATAGCTTTATTTCCTTTTTCTAATTCACATCTCAAATCTTCCTGTAATCTTTTTCTCTCATTTAAAATTTTTTCGGAAAATCTTCCTTTACGTATATAGTTGTACTGACCAGTTTAGATTTATTTTTTAATATTTGAATCTTTTTTCCCAATGTGGTTAAGGTAATGTTAATTGGTCTAATTTTATTTTCTCCTTTTTTACCAATGCGTCTTACATATTGAACTTCATCTCTCGTACAAATTATGTTCATATCATCATTTATAACATTTAGTATAGTATCCTCTAGTTCCGTATATGATCTTTCTTTTTCTTCAATACCAAAGAAAACAAGATTTCGAAGCCTTATATCTCTCTCTAATTGATCTATTCGTGTTTCTTGGTTTTCATTTTTTTCTTTTCAGATCGTCTAACTCAGTCTTGTACTCGATTAATTTTTCGTTCAAATTATCGATTTTTAATGATAATTTGGTATCGGTTTTGTTCAACTGTTCTCCAACATTTTTAATTGCTTTTAGTATGTCGTCCATTGTTAATCTGGTTTTTATAGTGTGTTATTGTTGTTAGGGTTATAGTTATATAAATAGTAAGTTTCCACTGAAGATGAAAGAGGACACCCCCCGGAAGACAAGCAATACTATGCAATGTTGAGTCAATTCACGGCGCTGAGAGATGATATACAATTCAATAATCACAATATAAATGGCTACACATAGATAATTCGTTATATATAACAATACATATTCACCTATATATTTCCTTCTATCCTTTAATTGCTAGAATATGATGTTAGTATATATATATGTCTTCGCTAACACATCGGAATTTCAAATGAAACCCAAATTTACTTTTAATATTGAATTTTAATACTTATTTTTAACAATTTTGAGGAGACCAAATGATTTTTGTAGACGAAGAAAAAGTGAGAGAATACAAAATAACGCAGGTACATCGAAAACAAATCCAATACGCCTGTGAACATTTAAATAGCAACTTTTTGCAGTTAAAATAGATTGCGTTCAAGAGTGTTGAAGGAGTGCCGGAACATCTTCCCGCCACCTTGAAAGGCTTCTTTCAATATTTAAAATCCTCTTCATTTGGTAGAGGACAAAATCGAACTAGAGGGCGTCGTAGACATCCTCCTGCAGTTTTGACATCAGCTACACGCGAAATGCCGTCTGGTCCAGGGAATAAACGTAATACTCGTCCCAGTTTCCAACACAAAGGAGGTAAGTAATCTTCTTGAATAACGACTAAGTCTCCAATTTTCAATTTTGCAGTATTAGTTTTCCATTTTGTTCTTTGCTGCAGCTCCGATATATATTCTTTCTGCCATCTGTTCCAAAAATGCTGACGTAATTTCTCAATTCTTTGGTATCTTTGCAAATTGTTTTCTTTGTAGTCTTGTAGATTGGGGGAAGGCAGTGCACGCAACGGTCTTCCAATGAGAAAGTGCCCTGGAGTGAGACAAAGGAAATCATCGGGAGAGGACGATAGAGGATATAGGGGACGGCTGTTCAAAATCGCCTCTACTTGAGAAAATAAAGTTAAAATCTCTTCGAAAGTTAGGTGACTATTTCCGATCACGCGTCTTATGTAATATTTAGAATTCTTTACGCCGGCTTCCCAGAGCCCGCCAAAGTGAGGAGAATAAGGTGGTGTGAATTTAAATTGAATTTGCTCTTGATTGGCAAAATGACGTAAAGAATCTTCATTGTCCTTAAAAAAAATATTTATTTCTTTAGCGGCAGCAACAACTACAGGATTCGACTTCACTTCAGGTAAGTTTACAACTATTTTATTATTTTTTAATTTGGGCCATTTTGTTTTATTTTCAGATAAAAATTGCGGACCAGACCACCACAGCTTCATAGACACCAGCCTGCCTGCATCAACGCCTCTGGATATCAAATCAGCCGGATTTGAATCAGTCGGAACATAACGCCACGATGATGCTACAGTTTTTTCCTGAATTTCGTTTATGCGATTAGCAACAAAAGTTTTTAACTTGGTAACATCACTATTAATCAAGAAATTACTATACTGGAGTCACACAAGTGGATTACATTATTTGGTTTGTATCGTAGGGATTCTATAACCGTTCCACTAAGCCTAGCCGCTAAAAGAGCAGCACAAAGCTCTAAGCGTGGCATAGTTATTGGTTTTATTGGTGATACTTTAGATTTGGAACATAATAATTTAACAGATACCCTATTATTAGCGTCTATGGATCGCATGTAAATACATGCACCGTATGCTGCCTGAGAAGCATCACTAAATGAGTGTAGTTCTATTTCGATTGGATTATTGCATAGAACTAATCTTGGTACTTGAAATTCTTTGAGATACTGTATATTGTCACAATATTTTTGCCAGCTCTCTCTGATAGTTTGTGGTACAGGTTGATCCCATTGAATCTTTTCTTTCCATAAATTTTGCATAATAATTTTTGGTTGTATGATACAAGGGCTTAAAAGTCCAAGAGGATCAAATATTTGGAATGAAATTGATAAAATATTTCTTTTAGTCACCATGTTACATTTAGGTATATTTTTTAGTGGAAAATTTAGACTATCACTAGAAGGATTCCAGCCAAGCCCGAGGGTGCTAGTTGATTCACTAATTGTCAAATTATCTTGTGAATTAGATGAATTATTTTCAAATATAATTTTAGAATTGCTTTTAAATTTTCTTAAATTAAAACAACCATTACTTAATGCCTTTGTTACTGAATGTTTTATGTAGCGTAATTGCTCTTCATCGTCACAACCTGTGATGAGATCGTCGATATAAAAGTCCTTTTTTATAATGGTTTTGATAAGTTCATCATTCTGCTCCTCACCGATTTGCCAAATACATCGAGTGCTTAAATAACTGGCACATGCAGTCCCGTAAGTGACAGTATTAAGACTCAATGTTTGTATGGGTTCAGACTCATCTCCTCTCCATAATATTAGTTGCAGCGCCCGATCATTTTCGTTTACTTCAACTTGGCGATACATCTTCTCTATGTCGCCACATAAAAGATATTTATATTGTCTGCTTCTAATTAATATGGAGAGGAGATAATCCTGCATATTTGGACCCACCATCAAAATATCGTTGAGAGCATATCCGGATGATGTGGAAGCAGAACCGTCAAAAACAACACGGAGCTTTGTGGACTCGCTACTTTCCTTCATGACTGCATGGTGACATAAATAGTATGAATTAAGTGATTTTACAAAATTTAAATTTGATAAATGACCTAACTCTGTATACTCATTGATAAATTTTGCGTAATCGATTTTTAGAGATGGATTTCGTCTAAATCTTCTTTCTAAATTTAGTAGTCTCCTTTTAGCAAGATTATAGGAATCTCCAAGACAATCGGGAGTGTCATGTAAAGGTAACCTGACGCAAAATCTACCTGTATTTAGACGAGTCGTGTTTGATACGAAATGTTTTTCGCATAGTTTTTCGTTTTTACTGAGAATTTGCCTTTTAGGAAGCTCTTCGATTTCCCAGAATTTAGGAATGATATCATCTATATCATTGTGTGATGATTTAGTTAAAGCATGATTGCAATATATTTTGTTATATTTTTTATTTTTAGAAGGAATGGGACCAGATATTATCCAGCCAAATTTTGAATTTATCAATTTAGGACCCCTTTCACGGATACACCGAGTTTCATTACCTATTATTTCCCAAAAGACATCAGCTCCTAGCAGAACATCGATACAGGCAGGTTTGTGAAATACAGGATCGGCCAGAGGCAAGTTTTCAGGTAAGTTAATATTTTGTATATTTATAGGAGCTTTAGGAATCTCACTTGTTATTTTGTCTAAGACTAAGCACGATAAATTTAGTTGATAAGAACTGTTTAATGATTTTAGTTGCGTTGTACATGTTTCTATAATATTATTTGTACAGTTGTTACCTATGCCAATAACTCTTATACTATCTATATGATTTGAATTTAGAGATAATTTTTCCTTTAGAGATTTACTAATAAATGAAGACTGACTTCCGCAATCCAAAAGCACACGAATTTTCTCTGATTGGTTTGTAGATGGATTACAAACTTCCACTAATGCTGTAGAGAGTATAACTTGATTTGGTGTTTGATTATGAAAGTTAACTACTGTATCATTATCTCTCACAGCGGCGTTACTTTTAATCTCTTTTAGAGGATTATGAAGTAAACTATTATGCCTTTGCTTACATATTCTGCAAGGTCCCATACGACAATCACTTAATGGATGGCCTTGTCTTAAACAATTTGGACATAACTTATATGTGGACACTTCCGTTAATCTATCTTGTATGCTCTTAGATTTGAATACGGAACAATCATATATTTTATGATTTTCATTACATATGATACATAGGTATTTATTACTATTTTGATTAATACTAGTAAAAGACTTTGTATATGAAGTACGATTATGATGTGAGCTTGGAGAATTTATTTTATTTGTATTATTAATAGGTATAGAATGACGAGAATTTGTGGGTATATTTTTATGAAAGTTATTATCATTTTTATTATGAGTCAAAGACTCCAAGACATTGGCACGATCATTTAGAAATTTATAAAATTCCTTTAAAGTGGGAACATCGTCGAGAGTATTTCTATGTTCCTCCCATTTAATTAATGTTATATTGTCCAATTTAGTAGACAACATATAGATCAATAATATATCCCAGTGATCTGTCGGTTGGTCTAAGCAGGCCAACGCACGCAAGTTTTTAGTTACATGATCCACTAAGAATCTCAGCGATCTGTCAGATTCGCGACCGAGTGGTTGTATACTAAATAATGATTTAAGATGATGATTAATTAATGATCTTTTGTTATTATACCTATCGCAAATAATTTTCCATGCCTCAGAATAATTAGCAGATGACACTTCGAGATTAGAAATAATTCTAGCTGCATCTCCCTCTAAATATGATGTAAGATAATGAAACTTATGAATGGGTGAGATACGGCTATTGTTATGAATTAAGCTTTCATAGGAATCACGAAATTCTAGCCACCGCAAATAAGAACCGTCGTACTTAGAAATTTGGATTTGAGGGAGCTTAAAGCTTGTTTCTTGATAATCGTGAAAGCACTGAGACTGATCTTTAGCATTATCAGTATGAGCCTCAACTAAAGTTTTAGCAGTTGCGATGCCAATTATAATATCACGTTCAATATTGTCACGTTCTTCAATTTCGAAATCAATATTATCTGTGTCAAAACAAACAGCTGATACATCATCTGATTTAATCAATAAATTACCTCTTAATACTTAAATACTTTCTTGCTAATCTAAATAATTAGATTGTCATCAACTCATCACATGCTATAGATCGTTTGTTATATACAAATTCCTTGAATTTTGTTTTATTTATAGGAAAATAACTATCTAGATTTAACTATTTTTTTACTCCTTGTGTTCCTAAAGTAATATTAGAAGTAAATATTGGAAATATTTAACAATAATTGCGACATACAAAATACACTCCGAACTACCTACATAATAGTACTAACAATTCGTTTATTTTGTCTTTACTGTAGTCCCTGACAATTTCTAGTATATTTTCTTAATTAATAATTAATACATAAATATAAAATAGTACACAACTACAAAATTGCTTTATAAATTATTAAATTGTCAGGTAATCTTTATATTTTAACTCCCTAATCAGCCTTACTAAATTGTATATTTTCAATACTCATCTGTTTTATCCTTACTATGTTTCCAGTAAAAATGGTCACTCGCAGTAAGGACTTGGATGTGAAATTGAAGAAGGCTTTACAGGAGTTAAAAGACAAGAAGGAACTATGTGACAAATTAATTCAGGAACGGGATGAGGGAGAGGTAGAAATATCAAATATAGTACATAAAAATACTATATTGAAGAAAAACTTGGCTGAATTAGACTGTAAATTTCAAAATTTACAAAAAGAACGGGATCAACTGCAGTTTCTTGTCGACTCCTTTGACCAGTGCCGGAATGCTCATGACTGTGCACTCAACCGCATCCATGAATTAGAATATGAATTGTCCGAAGCATATAATAAAATTAACACATTGACCACAAAAATGGGAGACCAAGAAGCTGAAAAGACTATGACATTATATGCCGAGTTGATCGAACAAAGTGTATGTGATGAGCCTGACCCTGTCCACTCTATCTCCGACACACAGAAGCCTTTTGTACAACAGAAGCGAGTAAAGTACCCTCTAACTAATTACAATAGTAAGAACTACAGAAAAATAAGTAGACAAATTAAAAGATTAAGAAAATCTTTCAAAATTAATCAAATTGCCTTATCAAAATTAGTAAAAGAAAAAGAATTTAATTTTGAAAAACAATTAGAATATTATGAAAATCAGTTCTGGACCCATAAATTACAGTTTGATACAAATACTACAAGGTTATTATTGCATATAAAAGAACTGGAAACATCATTGGATGCTATTACTGACAAGTACTCACATGCTCAGTTTCAAATATCAAAACATAATGTTGTGATGAAGGAATTGCTTGAATTTAACTCAAAAAGTGAAAGAGGAACATCAGAACAACTGTCACAGCAACATGCAGACTGCAACACTTTGTCGGGCAATTACACATCACATACATCAACATCCATTGTCACTCCGGAACAAACAAATATACTACCCAATGTTGTTAGTAGTCACCACACATGTGAGAATAACACTGTAATATATTCAGATAGTATAGGAATAAATCGAGGATCACTCATGAATAACTGTTTGAGCGAACATATCCAAAACAATTGTATGCCGAATGCCCCATTTAATTATATAGTTGAGAAAATGTTAAAAAATCAAAATAGTTATACTGAATACACAACTATTGTGTTATTCATTGGAAATAGTTTAGGTATCACTCAAAATGAGTTGATGAACTTATTTGAATCTGTCTTAAATATGAAAATTAAAAAATTTGTAATATGTACATTTCCATACTCAAAATCATTATCAAATAATAGAAATAATTATATCTTTAAACTTAACAGTCATATATATAACTTGAGCTGTTATAATGACAACATTCATTGTTTTGATACAAATAAATTTGTAAAAAAATTTACATTGACTAAAAATACTCTGTATTTGTCATATTTTGATAAAAGACATATAGCTACTTTGTTAGCTTATAATATACATAATCCTGTTATAAGTAGTATAACGGGTACTTATCCTGACTGCACCGTTTTTAGTAGTTTTACTAATGTTTCTGTGCATGAATCTTTAAACTTAAGTTACAGACAAAGAGAAAGCCATCACAACTAAATTTAGTACATCAAAATATTCAAGGCTTTCTTGGCAAAGAATTAGAGATAGAATTATTTATAAGTAAATTTAATATTGACATTGTATGCCTCACAGAACATTGGTTAAAACAGTCCAATATGGTATTTCAGTTACCAAATTATGAAATATTGAGTACATTTACTCGGCAAATTTCAATTAGAGGTGGTTCAATTATTTTATTAAAAAATAACATTAAAGGGAAAGAACGTAAAGATATTGTAGCACTTTCAAATGAATGCATTATAGAATTATCATGTGCAGAACTAGAGAAACACATAATTATATGTGTGTATAGGCCTCCTAACTCAGACTATGAAAAATTTGAGTCTACCATGGAAGATGTACTGAAGTTAGCATTCAAAAGTAACAAATTTATTTTGGTATGTGGGGATTTCAATATAGATCTTCTTGTTGATAGTCCTATAAGTAATAAAATTAGAAACCTTTTTAAAAGTTTTGATCTTGATCATATTTTCTTTGAACCTACAAGGATTACGTCCACTACAGCAACATGTATTGATAATATATATTGTAATTTTAGTATTTTAAATAAATCTATAATAAATACATTGCCGTCAGACCATTGCGGACAAATAGCAACATTCGCATGTAATGAAAAAAACGAGATTATATATAAGTTCTACAGACCAACAACAGCATTTAAATTACAGAAATTTAAAATCAAATTAAATGAAAGTTTACAGTTTTTAAAATTTGACAATATTGATCCAAATATATCATATAGTCGTTTTTTCAATATAATAAAAACGCATTTTGATAAAAATTTTACAGTAAAGAAATTTAAAGTCCATAATTCTAAGTATGCTGAATGGTCAACGTTAGGTATTTATATAAGTAGG